CATGCCCCTGTTCTGATTTCTACACGAAAGGCTGAGTTTTATCCTTGTCTGCACGCAAGTAGAAATAATTTCATTCACTTTCATTTGGTGAAGATCTTTCGACATCCAGGGAATGGCTCACAGCATTCAAGGCTGTCTACTGTTCCCCACATATACTCGCAATCAATATATGTTATTCTGTCACCAAGAGGTACCGGGGTATCCACTGACCATACTAGTTTGTGAAATGTTAAAATTATTGTGACCCTCTGTAATGAAACTTGTGTTCATTTATACTATTGCGTTAGAAATTGCGAATTCACAACGCTGTTTTAATTATACGTAGGTCACCAGTTTAAACATGCTGAGAAAGTGTACGGAAGTTTTCAGTGTGTGACTCTGAAAGGTCATGAACTTCGTGGGAATCTGACAAATCATACTTAAATGCGTGATATAAAGGCTGAGTAGCAGAAATATAACACATACGACCGTTGAATATTGTTGTGCCAAGGCTCGCCTAGAAGATTACAAAGAGTCACCCTCCAGGAGATGTGACGCTTACAACTTATGAGAAGATGGATATATATATATATATATATGCATGCTCATTTATTCCTTATACCTCCCATCCCATGGCCACCATTAGCAATCTATCTTCCTCATATGCACTTGTTACGATCAGTCTTATCCAATGTACTGGACGGCCGAGGATGATTTAGCTCGTCACTACGTACACCTCGTCTGCCTCATTTTGAAGCGTCGTTATAAATCGATTATCTACATTTTCCTTGAATCCCATGATACTCCGCAATGTTCTAAGTTAGTTAGACTCTTGGACTATGATTTCGTTCCCTTCGCGGGCCGGTGTAAGAAGCCGAAGTTCATTTGATAAGTTATTATGGCACACATTTGTTTCGTTGTAGTACGTTTATTGCAGATACCAAATTACTATCTAATAACTGTCAATTAACTACGTAAATAAGTATCTGATGAGTAGTGTGGCAAACTGACAATCCGGGTTATGACGGAAAAGCAAAACTGGATCAAGTTGGTAACGGTCGACATAACATACTTGTGGTGTTTTTTTTTCAAAATTGAAATGGGGTTTAGATCATTTAGCCCTTTTCTCAACGAGTCATTTAAGAAAATCTGAGTTTAGGCGATTCAAGTGACCAAGCAAAATATCACCTTGGTAGAAGCAGATGGTTAGACGTTTGTCAATGAAATAATTTGTCGAGAAGTTTGCCAGCCCGTTTAATGGAGAACAAGCTATTGATTGTGTCGTCGAAATTCTACAATTTTCAGCGGCTACTTGAAAGTATCAGTAGTATGATATAGTCAGCATCTAATTTGCAGTGAACACGGTGATAATTTTGCGTAAAATCACGTTCATTCTAGGAAGAAGCATTTATTAAGCGCTTGCGTTGGACATTTGTTCCGAACACTTGTCTTCAAAAACTTAGGGGGGAATTAAAGGCGTTTCCGGATAATGTGTGGCCAGATTGGTGTCTACTCAGTGGAAAATGAGAGGCAATTCTTTAAATCAGCTCCACTAGGAATTCCTCTTCCTTTCTAAGGAGACATATAAAAGCAAATCAAATTTGATCAACTCTATGTGGCTTAGTCCCGTTAAATGGCAATTTTCCAAGCCCACTGAATTTGTATTTGGCTTTTGCAGTTGCATCGCCGTAACGGACTACCAGTGGTGAACAATTAAGTGTGAAAAACGCAGTAATTTCTGTTTAGTATGACTGATGGTACAACAATATCATCATATCAAACTGCTTGACGTCATATGCAAATCCCTCTTGATAGACCATTGGAGAAATTGGAACTTCTACGACGGACTGAATAGACGCATCATACTGTTCTGTTATATCGATAACGTCATACTAGCTCAGATGTAGATTTCGCTTGAGTAAGACTGTGAGATGATGACTTGCTGATTATTTGCGCTTGATAACGTTTCTAAGAACGTTCGGTTCTCGCCAGTAACTCGTTACCAATGCCCACAGATTGACTGATAACTGTGGTGCATTTTAGGGACATCCATTGTCCTCAGGGTAGAGCAAATCCAATGGGTGTTGTTGCAAAAGATTGCATTCCGTGTTCCTCTGACCACTAATATCTACTTAGATAACATTAAAGGGTTCCATAGAGCAAAGAGGTATTATCCTTGTAATCTGGTTGGTTTGTGTGACCTTAATGAGGAAACTGATTGTCTTTATCTCTACCAAGGAAATGCCCGTAGGAACTGCAACGCCTTCTGTCTATTGACTATTGTTGATTTAGAGGAAATTCTGTCGTGTTTGCATCATGTCTGCTAAACCGCGAACACATTTTAAATCATCTAAGAATATTCTCCCACATTACAAAGAAGGTTTGCCTTCGTTTATGGTCGCTATTGTACCATACTGCAGTCAGAAGAACACTTCAGCGTTCGAGTAAACACTTGAATATCATGATAAGCATTCCACCACTCCAGCTGATCACAGTGAAGAAAAGTTACAGCTCAAATGTCATTGAATCTCATTTTCGATTGGTCTTTATCGCAACGGTGAATAAAATTAGACTGGTTGTGAACTTAACCCACAAGCTGCTTGACTTCCGGTTAGACTTTACTACATTTCAATTCCGTTTAGAAATTATCCACTTTGTTCAGGCGTCTTGGCTATCTATGGATTGGCGTCTACTTGACTGTGGTTGGCAAATAAGCGACGAAGTGCAGCTGACAAATATAAATCCCAACTGACTAAGCGCCTACCAGCAACTTCCCATCGAATGCAATGATGTTCGAGCATCCGACTTTGTGCAGCTTTTACCCTGAGTAACATACTCATCAAAAACGCCTACCTGATCGTTGTTCGCATGTGATTTTCTGATAGCGAATTCGTGATTACCTCACAGAACTCAAATTTGTGGAGATGTGCAGAAACGGGACATTGGTCAGAAATGTCTTGGAAGGTGAACTTTCGAGGGTTAGAATCTTTGAAAGCAAACTTGAAGCTGTGGAAATCACCCAGAGTGTGTCTGACTTCACAGATGATTTTCAATTCTATCTCATGCATCAACCGAAGTTCAGTGAGGAGTAGCCCAAATGTTCTTCCGAGCCAACAGTAGCACATCGATTCATCCTCTACATTTTCCACTACGCGTGTTCTGATACTTTTTGGAGCTCCCGTCACCTCTTTTTTGTTCGACTATCTACTGACATCATAGTCACGGGTGTATAACCCACTCCAGTCCGTTGTAGTGGGGAACGTATATTCGCCCGCCAACTCAAGTGCTGGGACTCCTGTCTGACTGTCTAAAGCAAGGCTAGAAAACTACATGAGAGGTCTGCCTATTTTTCCCGGATTCATACTCTGTCTTCAGGTTAGATATATCGTGAGCTGAACTAAAAGGGATCAGCACATATTTAGATCTTCTGGTTTAATGTGATGTGATACATTGGTAAAGATAGATGTAAATAAGAGCAAATAGTAAACATTTAAGAAAAGATGGGGCAAATATTGTCCCTCTCACTTCTCACAGTTTATATATGGTTAAACGACATCTTAATTACACAAGTCAATCTATCTAACAATCTCTTCTGTGGCTCCTCCCTTCCTGATACATCAATGCGATATACAGGTTGATTGTCATGCTGACATCCGAAAAACTCCCAATGGAATGGGATTTTTGTGTCTCGTTGCCAGTGGAGTGAAGGCGTTCGTTGTCAAATGTACTAAGGTGTCGGGTACTTTAAGTTAAGTGAGTATAAAAGAGCAAGCAAACTTTATTTTACTTGTCCTTAGACGGCCCGGATGTGATGAAATTCAAAACGCGACAGACCGAAACAAAATAGACGCAAATGCTCGGCAAGAAGACGCACAGTTTGAGGTGGGAAGCACAAATGCTTAGTGATCAGCTAGAAAGTGACTTGTTAGCCATAAATGAGAGTACTTTTCAATCGGCTTAACCTGAGAAGCATTTGTACTTATCCAAGTCCTGAAGTGTCTATATGGCAGGCGTTTGAAGAAACCCTTTTGTAGAGAGAAACTTTTATTTTGCATAATGTGCTCGGAATTTCAAATGTGAATTAAGAAGTAAACGAACCCAGTAAGCAGCTAAAGCCAAGCAAACATGATTCTAAATCCCGTGGTGCCACATAAATTGGACATTTTTGGAGAAGCGGATCAGTCGGTTGACGTGACCAGAACAGTTGCTTGGCGCTGAGTTTGGCGCTTTCTTGTGTGCATATCATCATATACATACGAGCGTACAGGAACTAGACTGCTGGGCACTATCTGTCTCACAATTGCATCGTATTCGGTGCAACTGATGACCGACTTTAACGTACTGCATAACTGAGTCAAAAACGTCGTCACAGGTACATGACCTCAAAAAAAAACTCGCAAAACCAAAGGTTGTGTAAATTCAAATACTAAGGTGGTTCTTTTAATACGAGATATACCTTGTCCCTTTTTAGGTAAGAAATGAATACCACATCCATTTGTGCTTCTGGTGACGGGTAAAAAAATCGAAAGTTGCTCTGGTTTAAAATATCCGATGTGATCAAATTAGGTGTTATTGTTTAGATACGTCTTGCATTTTATTTGATAGAACCGCTTCAGTCTTCTTGTTTCCATTTGTCCGTGTGTATTGGTACTGCGTTGTGGCAAATAAGTCAAATATTAACTGCAGTCTGACGGCATTGCTTGGAAGAAGAAAAAATTGCCACACGGATTTCTCTGATCATACTTCTAGTTAGGGTTTTTACGTTTGATAAAAGTTTAGCAGAGACAAGCGATTTGAAACAGCAACCTCGAAAATTTTGGTACTGATCTCAGTTTGGCGACCACGTGCTTCTGGGGCAAAAATAACACAGTCACCCCCTTTTTCGTAATTTCGAGCAAGCCGCGTATTGCAATACAACCACCACAATTAGGTCGTAAGACCGGACGAAACATTTCATTCGGAAGAGATCCTCTTCCAGTATACACATGAAGCTTCACAAAAAATGAATAAGAAAGAGTATGTCAACGGGTCGCTTCGCAATTTAGAATTCGTCTGTAAGCACTGGAGTAGCGCCTGTCAAGCAGTGCATAAATAAACGGATTGCACACACTATTGGCGAGACCGATAATGTTGACATACCTTGTAATTTCCTCACGTATTTCACCGATAAAGATCTCCGCTATAAAGCAAACAAAGAAAGGCAACCAGAAAGCAAAGTAGCAGACGACTACGGCTGTTACCATTCTCACTGCTCTCATATTCTGCTTTATGCGACGTCGCCTCTTTGCTTCGGTGCTGGCCAAAAGTTTGGTCATTTGTGCACTTTCTTGAGGGTTCTCAGCCGACCTGCCGTTCTTCAGCTGAGCGAAACATCCCAGTGTGACCGATTTTATCAAAGTATTTTGCTGTTTAGACAAGGAATACTTCAATTCGCCAAAGTCCATTGAACTACTTTTTCGGAATAGCGTGCATGATGGGGGTAATTTAAGTTCAGGCGTAACAATTTTATCTCTCTGGGGCTCAGATAATAGTATATCGTGCCCATTCAAATCCTGATGGGAAACATTGAAGTTTGCTAACCGGTTGAATGACTCCGACCGCGGGTTGATCCACATGTTCCTTCCATTGTGGGGCACTCCGACTAATTCAAGGCGACTATCTTGCTTCCGGTGCTCGGCATAATTTGAATTTGGTTGATCCCGTCCCAAACAGGAATTCAGGGTGATTATGGTGGCTGGTGAATATCTTCCAAGGCGGACAGTGTAGTGCTCGGTAGCAATTGAATGTCGGAGATTTTCATTGATTTTATTACGCAACTGCGCACGGTTACTTATCAAAACTTCTGTTGATGGACGGTGATTTAAAGACATAAGTTTAGGTCCGTTCCGGGAGTTTATTTCATCGGTCGCCCTACGTCCGCTCTCATACGTCCAAGTCGAACTTTTATCAGTCGAATTTAAAGGGTTAGCTTGTCGACTGTAAGAAAGGCCAGAGTTTGTCAAGCGTTGCTTTATAACCCCTACAACGCGGCAATATATGAACACGAGGAGGACTAGTGGTATGACGAAGCAGACAACTATAGTGTAAACACGACATGGCAAACTCAGTGACACTCGGCATTCGGTTGAATGGGCCACGTGACCGACTGGTCCAATCAATGCACTGGTTACAGTGAGGATTGGCAAACTCCAACACAGTGTGATCATTGTGACTGCCATGAGTGGAGAATGTAGTAGGTCTGTAAACCTAGGATGGACGATGATGATGTAGCGGTCGATCGAAATGCAGCACAAATTCGTTATCGATGCATGACAAGTCAGAANTCTCATACGTCCAAGTCGAACTTTTATCAGTCGAATTTAAAGGGTTAGCTTGTCGACTGTAAGAAAGGCCAGAGTTTGTCAAGCGTTGCTTTATAACCCCTACAACGCGGCAATATATGAACACGAGGAGGACTAGTGGTATGACGAAGCAGACAACTATAGTGTAAACACGAAATGGCAAACTCAATGACACTCGGCATTCGGTGGAATGGGCCGTGTGACCGATTGGTCCAATTAGTGCAGTGCTAACAGTGAGGATGGGGAAACTCCAGCACAATGCAATAACACCGATCGCCGTGCCCGGAGAATGTAGTAGGTCTGTAAACCTGGGATGGACGACGATGATGTAGCGGTCGATCGAAATACAGCACAAATTCAGTATTGACCCATGGCACGTAAAAATGCTAAAAGAAATCCACATCTCACACAACCAATTCATGTCAAATGGCCAGTAACCAAAGTGGTTCACCGCAATCTCCGTCGGTAAGACGAATAGCCCAATGAGTAAGTCCGCGACTGCTAGCGAAGCAATTAAATAGTTTGATATTGTATGCAGTTGCGTAGTGATAATAACAGTGATAATGACGATTAAGTTTGTAATAATTATAGCGGCATCCAGGATGGAAAGAGCTATCGTAATGAATGTGGTCAAATCAATGGTGGTCATACGCTTGGATAGGGGTACTTTGCTTCCATTGCCAGTTTGCTGCCAGTCCGTTACGTTGTTTTGCGTGCGTAATACTTCCAATGGAACAAATGTATCGTCCTTCTGTGCAGCAACCGTGAATGCAGCAAAAAATGTCACCAGAAAACAGAAAAGTTTGCATTTGAAATGCATAGTACATTAAGCGATTATATTCATTCTTCGTCCAGGAATCGCGCTGTTCAATGCCCAGATAAAATGGTTGGAAAACAACGTTTCAAATAGTGTGATTGGCCACGAGAGAATTGTGGCGGAATGTGGAAAATATCGAACTTCTGTATATTCATTTCCACACAATTTGTAGATGTTTCCACAAACAGGTACAATGGGGATGGCACTAAAAGTCAGATTCTTCGGGATTTAAATTCCCTTCCAAAGTCGACTGGGTTAGGAAATCTCTACTTCACCAGTCGCGGAACTGTTGGAGTTGTGAAATATGTCCTCGCACAGCATTGAAACTTGTGTGTCAAAATTCCAGCTGGGGTTTCGGACAGCGAGTTGGAAATTAAACATTCACTCGTTACTCTTTTGCGTTTGCAAAATGTTTGGAAAAATGTGCTCAAGTTCTGTAATTGTTAAGCGATTGGCTAATACAATTGTTCCGTTGTTGAAACAACAAACTATCTTCATGACCAATCACAACTCCCCAATATGTGGACTCGGTTTGTGTGTCGTTAAAGCTTAGGAATTTATGCTGCTAGTAGAAGACATTTTAAGACATCTGGTAGATTTGGTCACATTGAATTCATTTCCTGTTGGAAACCCGGCTAACCTAAGCTGACTTCCAATTTTTAAGGGATAAAACACAGCATATGTATATTTAGACTGTGCAGCCCGAACGACTGAATGGTTCCTGGGGTAGGCCGAACTTTTCGCCAGTCACTTTTTAGCTCACCTTTTCAGTCGATCGTTATTTCATACTGATGGTCTAGGCGCCAGTTGTGTTATCGATCCTCGTCGACAAATACTTGAAAATTCGAAATACTGAACAGCCAGTGTGACAACAGGACAACGCGCCGTAGGACCACACACCTTCACAAGAATTCTGTAAACTAGAGGCGAAAATATTGCCGTATGTTTGACAACACCTCCACTAACCTTTAGTGTAGGTACAGTAAGCTTAGATTCTTTGATAGCTGCTCAGTGAGTACTCCTACTTTTGCACAAAACCTACATGATGTATCGCTGATGTGTTGGGATTACAATTCACTCTTCATCATCAGGTTAACAATCTATCTTTGAGAAAATTCTTCCACTTAATGAAATTTCCGCGCGTGTTCCCCCATTCATCTTCCGCTATTCCGTGAACCGATTGTAATGACCTGTCATTATCCACCTATCTATCTATCTATCTATCTATCTATCAATCTATCTATCTATCTATCTATCTATCTATCTAT